TCAACCAAGCCCCAGCTGACATCAGACTGTAGCCACAGTGGGAACCACTCACCTGAGGGGGAGCAGGAGGGGAGGAACGTAAGACATGGACAGGTGAAAGGATCTTGATATAACCTTCCCACAGACAACAATGACCAACTCTGGGCAAAATGGCTTTTAAAAAAACAACTATTTGAAGGCACTAGAGGCCTGGTGTGGTGCTGTAGGATAAGCCTTGGATTGTTAATCACAAAGTTGGTGGTTCAAACCCACCAGCTGCTCCTAGGAAACCCTATACAGCGTCACCCTGAGTCAGAATCGACTCAAGGGCAAATAACAACAGCATTTGAAGACTCTAGAGAGCAACCTAGTATGGCTTTATTGAATAAGCACTGGACTGTTAACTGCAAGGTTGGCAGTTCAAACCCAGCAGCCACTCCTAAGAAACCCTATCCAGAGTCATGAGTTGTAACTGACTCAATGGCACTTAACAACTGGAGGGGACTCAGTCTTTTAAAGAGTGGAACATACTATGTGATATATGGAGTCCTGGTGTAGTTCTGTAGGATAAGCCCTGGACCACAAGGTTGGTTTGAACTGCAAGGTCGGTAGTTAAAACCCACCAGTAGCACCTTGAAAATCTTATACAGGGTATCTATGAGTTGGGACCAACTGGAAGGCATTTGACAACACCAATATATTATATATAAATTTATGTGACTTTTCTCTGAAGATGCACCCCAGTCTGCATGGCAAACGATTCCTAGAACTCAAGCAAAAACATCTGAGGTGTCTGAGGCAGAGTTCAGGTTGCCAGAGCAACTGGAATTTGAGAGGAAAAATCACAATAGAAATGGCGCTCTATTGAGCTATTTGAATGCACTGGAATCCTAGTGCAGTTAAGTTGGATAAGTACTGGACTGCTAACCACAAGGTTCATGGTTCAAGCCCATCAGCCACTCCTTGGAATCCCTATACAGGGTCGCTATGAGTCAGAACCAACTCGACAGCACCTAACAACATCTATACATAGTTGGGAAGAGCCCAAGTCTGTATATATGTTCCCCTGAATCTTTAATGTGCTAAAAGGGAAACAAAAGTTGTTAACAAAGAATTCTACCCCCACTGTGTAATAGTAATAGCATCACAGTCTGTCTCATTTCAGAGATGATAATGACCAGAATCAACCCAAAGCTGATTCTCAGATATCAGGGCCCGTGAAATCATTTGGTCTGGCTGTGCCAAGGCAATCATAGTTCCAGCCATCACATTGTTGTTGTTGTTAAGTGCCGTTGAGTTGGTTCTGACTCATAGTGACCCTGTATAGAGTCTCCAAGGAGTGGCTGGTGAATTACAACCGCCAACCTTGTGGTTCAAACTGACCTTATGGTTGAGTGATTATCCCTGTTTAGAGTTTCCAAGGAGCAACTGGTGAATTAGAACCACCAACCTTGTGGTTTAAATCACCCTTGTGGCCCAGTGCTTACCCTACAGAACCACACCAGGACACTGCTCCTGTTGCTTAGTGCTGTGGAGTTGGTTCCGACCCACAGCAATCATGCATAGTGTTTCCAAGGAGTGGCTGGTGAGTTTGAACTGCCGACCTTACAGTTCAAATCAACTTTGCAGTCCAGCGCATTAACCTACAGCACCATACTAGGGATGAGTTAATTAAATGTTTGATCAAATACAGACATTGAAGAGAATATCTGATAGCAACAAGACAGATCTCCATAGAGGTCCAATCAGACCATGATGGCCCCTCCCACTTGGTCACAGGCATCTGCCAGTCTGATGTGAATTGGTAGGAGTCTACTTTCCTGGTCAGTACTCTACCTGCCTCCCTGATTGGGTCTCTGAAACCAACAGGACAGACCTCTCAGGAAGTTGTTTCAGGTTATTCCCCTTCCCAATGGCACTGAGGATTGCTGAGTGAGATTGTTGTGTGCCAAGAAACAGACATCTTGAATGAAGGCCATACACACAATCAACTTACTATTAGGATGAAGAGGGCTCTGCTAACAACTAGGCTTTAGGGTAAGACTTTACTTGTTACAGAATGACAGCCTCTACACCACCCAGTAGCTTGCAGCTACTGTTGTTGTTAA